CTAAAATAATTTAAAATTAATGTACATGATTTCTTTCAATCAAATTATTAATTTTTGAAAATATTAATTAAAAAAAACATGTCCCCTAAAAAAAATTTATAAGAACGATCTACAAAATACTTTTTTCTATACATAAAAATATATATATAACTTATATATAAATAAATTCTTATTATATATATCAAAAAAGTATTTTTTTTAATTCCAATGGCATTTTTTTATGTAATCTAAGTACTAAAATTATTTAAATACTCTTAATAATATTTTTTAAAAAATTATTCATTATTAGTATTATTATAATTTTAATATTCAAATTACATAAAAAATATATATTTCGTATTGAAATATACATTTCTCTACGTGTGTGTATACATATATAAATAGTGGCAGCTTCCTGGTTCCAAGAAGCATGTTTTTCTGTCCAAACCAATTGGGAAACCAGCCAATTGAAACAATAAAATGTCTATCTTAACCCTTATTTATTTTTTCGTTTTTTAGCCAATTGGTATCCTGTCATGATAAACATTTCATAGCTAAGTTGCATGATTTTCATCTTCTCCTTCTTCATTTTTTTTTTCTTTCATCCAAACGTAAAAGCATATTTCTCCATTTTTGGTCCCTTGTTCTCAACCATATCCTTTCGGTCTTTGACAGCTCGAACCAACCAAGAAAAGAAAGAAATCTAATGTACCTTCCTTGTTTGGTAAGGGAAAAGGAAAAAAAAAAAAAAACTGAGATGTTAGAGGTCTAGTCAATGAAAATAAAATAATTATAATATTATATAATATTATAATATTATAATTAAAATATTATTATATAATCAATGTTTTATTTAAAATTGTCTATAACTGATATTGTATGTATATTAATTTAATAGTATATCATCTTTATAAAATTATGATTTTACTTATAATAAGAAAGGTGGGAACAAAAACAACTCATAAATTAAAAATAAAGAAATGTAATTTCAATTTTAAAGATTAAATTTATTATAAATAAATGTTTTATAATTCATATCAAAGATTTAAACTTAACATCAACACCAGATTGATGAAAAAATACAATCTTATTCTCTTTATTTATTTTTAATAATTTTAATATGATTTTTTGATATTGCAACTATTAATTCTAAATAAAAATTTAATATATTATATAAATTATAATTATTATTTATATAACATATTAAAATTTTGTTTTAAATTTATATTTAAAAATTAAAAATTAAAATAAATTTATTAAAAATAAAAAAAAATTTGACGTACACGTACGACAGAAATTAATAAAGCAACACCCTAAATCGCAATCCCAAACAAACACTAGAGATGATAGAAGCCAAACGTCAGCCACTAACCAATCCACTGCGCGTCCGCCTAACCGCCGTTGACGCCTGACCTCTTCAAAATCCCAAGTCATCCCCCTCCTCACATCTCCATTTATATACCCCTCCTCTTCCCCTTCTACCTCAGCACATTCCACCTAAACCCCAAGACCCAATTCATCATCATTAACGTTAACGATGCAACAAGCAATCCCTTACAAGCCATGGCCACCACTCCACTCGGCCGCCACTCTCCACCCAACGTCGCCGCCGATTACCCAGATCGATGTTCTCGACATGGTCTCAGAGAACCCAGTAATCGTGGTTGCCAGAAAAGGGTGTTGTATGAGCCATGTGGTCAGGCGGTTACTGTTAACGCTCGGGGTGAACCCGGCAGTTTACGAAGTCGGTGACGAGGAGGAGGCAGCGGCGTTGAATCGACTGGAGATGATTGGTAAAGGCGCCGGTTCCGGAGATGATACTGCCCTGAAGGTGCAGTTTCCGGCGGTGTTTATTGGGGGAAAGCTGTTTGGGGGATTGGATAGGATTATGGCGACTCATATTAGTGGGGAATTGATTCCTGTGTTGAAACAAGCAGGTGCTTTGTGGCTTTGATTGGTGCAATTTTCTCGAACTTAAAATTAATTAATTTTTCTTCTTCTTTTTATTTTTAATTGTGACATTTTTATTATATGTATGCTTGATTGCTTGTTAACTTCTTGACCTTTGAAAGCTGGAGGTGTAGGGAGAAAATAGAAGATTGATTTTTTTTAATTATAGGGGAATTTTAAGAATTTACCCTATTGGAATTTTAGGAAATGTAATTTTGTTCTATAGAATTATAAATCAAATATGCAAGATTGAATATCTTCTTACTTTACTTTCTGTTTTTCAGATTTCGTGTTTTTAATGTACAGTTTGCTACTCTTTTTATTATTATCATTATTATTATTATTATCATAGTTTGCTAACTCTTATTGAGCAATATTTCCTTCTTTGTACATCAGGAGTTTGAACTCGTGATCAAGATTTTTTAGTTTTTTTTTTTTTTTAATTTTGATTATATAATAAAAAGATAATTCTCTTCATTTTCTTAATTCATCTCAATTCATGTTATATCACTTCGTATCCAAATTTTTTATTTTAGATGTTATATTTTTTAAACATTTTGGTTATGCATTAACTCAGCCAAGCAGAAAGCAGATGTGGGACAGTGATGTTTTATTTTTCATGGGAACAAGTTTGGTGCCAAAAAAATGGTTGATGATATCACCTAACCATTAAACAAAAGAAATAGTGTCAAGATGTAGCTAAATAAGTAAATAAATAAAACACTACACCGAGGCATAAATGAAGAATACGCTGCAGGATGGTTGTAGTTTTGGTCACTATAAATTTTATAATTTTAATCAAAAAATTTATTTGTTTTTATTTGTTTTTGTAATATATTATTATAATTATTAGAATAATAAAAATAAAAATAAATTTAATATTATTAAAATAAATTTATATTTTTTATTGTTAATGATAAAATTCAGCTTAAATAAATTTTTGTTTTTGATTTTTAGTAAAAAAAAAAAAAAAACTCAAAACTACATCCATACTAAACAAAACCAAATCTTTCACGTCTTAGACCTTGCTAAGCAGTCCTTTGGAATTAAAATTTTGTTGTTAAATTTTTTAATTTAATAATTTTTATAAATTTTTAAAATCCGTTGCGATATTTTATACAATAAATTTGGAATTTAGTACTTACTTACACAAAAATTCAACTCAAAAGATTTCTCAAAAAATTGTTTAACTATGCTTTTTCTCATTATTTTCAAATACTATCTTATTTAAAAATATAAATTTATTATTTATAATTAATTTTAATTATTTTTTTATATAATTTTATTAATTTAATATAATTATTGATATTTTTAAAATAAAAAAAAAATTATAGTATATCACAATTCAATATTGGCAAACAAAGTTTAGAGCAGTTTTTAAGTTCCTTACTCATTTAGGAGTCTTTTTTTTTTTTGAATAAAAAATTCAGACTCATTAGGCTAGGGTGTGGAATTCTCACCTATACTCTTATAATTGCGTGAATCTTGACCATCTAAATAAAGAAAAAAAGGTAGAATAGTTTTTTGCAATCAATTGATGAGGAGAAAGGCTCGTTCGAACAACACAAAACACTAGTTGTTATTTCTGGATACCCCCTTCCTTGCGAAGCTGGTTGCAGGATCATCGTTCTCTTTAGAGCTAGTTCTTTTGTTTTACTTTGGTCTTAAGACTGTTTTTGTATTTCTTTTTCATGTGTTTGTTTGTAAGATCTCTTTAAAGTATTAATGTTAGTCAGTTATTGTTTGTTGACCAAAAAAAACAGATTAACAGCACAAAACAATTTCTGTTAATAGAATGGTTGGAAAATTAACCTGATTTATCTCTTTCTCTACTTCGGATGTCTTGTCCTTTTCATGAACCACTCATATTATTGGTAAAGACGCACTGATGACTTACCCACACAAATACTGATAGCTGTTTCCAAGCATGCAAAATGAAGTGTTTTAAAAACACGGGACCAGCTGCATTGCATCACATGGGGGCCGGAGCTTCCAACAACAGTCTTATCTAATCTAATACCTGCCTTAGCACATGCATAGCTCATGTCCTGTTATTCTCAATCTAGCAAGAGGACAAAACTTTCCTCGGTTTTCATTCTCCCCAACTTTACCTTTTTGAAGGCAGACAAATTGAAGACCTGGTCGAGCATCTGCATCCGCCTACGTCAGGAAATTTATGAGATACTATCTCTTCTAACCTCCCAGAATTTTAACTAGTGTTTCTATTGCTCTAATGAATTGAAATTTGATTAAAATGAAGGGTGACAAAATTAAGGTTATTGCAGAGTTGTTATGGCCTTGTTTGATTTAGCTGTTATCCAATGGTAAAAACAACTAAACCGAGGAGGGTCGCGTAAATCGTATACGGATTATGAAGTGAAGCAAACTTCTTAATAATTCCTTGTAATCATGATTTGTGAACATAAGCGCTATGAAAAATTGAATTACATAACGTTCATAGTTGAACCTTTTACTTCACAGGAGTACAACATCTAACCAAAAGAATTTCAAACTAAGAATTGCCTTTTATCAGCAATCGGCTGGTGAGATTAGGTTGCATGTGGAAGAAGCTATATTTACAAAGCACAAACAATCAAATTGTATCTAACCATGAATCAAAATCATCTAAAACTTTGGATTTTGGGACAGAACTAGATGACGAAGAAGACAGGTTGTCTCGTTTGGTGGCCTTCAAATCCCGAGGCTGTGACGTACTAGTTTGGTTAACCAGATTAGACGTTTCCTGTAATAAGTCATCGAGTACATCGTCAAAACTGGCAGTAATTGTTGAAGTTTTAGATGAAGCTGGGCCTTTTCCTGAAATTTGCAGATCTTTAGTAACTTCTTTACGGAAAGTACTGGAGGTGATTGCGGGCTTGATGCCAGGTGAGTCGAGAAATTTAGTCTCACTAAAGGAGTCAAGAAGCATATCTAGCTCTGCCTCTGCAGTTGCTGCTTCAAATGTTAGAAGCTTCTTTTTTGAGACCACTTCATCATTTGCTGTGGATTTGGGCTCTCTGCCCCCATCAGCTTTGCCAAGATGATTGGATGCCAAATCATCCTCAGCTTGATTTACCAAATCCAACTCTCCATTAAACCGTGTTATGTGCTTGCTGCCTGAGCCAAATGATGTATAATCACTATCTTGATCTGCTATCTCGAGCTTCTCAGAAAAATCATCTAGAGCTTGCTCTTTTGATACTTGAGTAGTGACTTTCTTCTCACTTATCATTTGCATCTCATCAGATTGTTGATTGCCAGTTAACTCCTCTGGACCCTGCACCTGCTGTCATGTACACCATCCAAGATGTATCACAAAACACAGAGGCTTAAAACTTAGGGTTTAACCCTAATCCAACAAACATGTCATCTTACCAGCCTCAACGGCTGCAAGTTGCAACCGAAGTCTCACCTTGAGACCTTAAAAGTTCATCCCAATTCAAGTTATAATTTGAACATCAAAATAACATCCAAGACATACCAGCTCTGATGGTAATAGATCTGCCTCAATGAAGAGCCTCTGTGATAAGTCTACTCTTTCTAGTTGTTCGGCAAGAGCATTCAAATTCAGGGAGAGAAATGAAGTCTATATAAGCACCCCACGGAAAGGCATTGACAAGAGAATGAGGGAAAAAAAAAAATGATGTGAGAAAGATAATACAGAATGAATTTATAATAGAACAAGAAATTGTAAGATTAAAAAAAAAATTCGCATCTCCCCTCACAAAGATGATCCATTATCTATCTCAACGCTATTATGATGACCCCACTATCAGAAAGTTGCCTTCATGAAATGGATGCAGAAGGTTGTTTAGTGGATGAGTTAGGCCTGCACTTCTAGGGTTGAACAAGTTACAAACCTGGTACATTTGAAGTTCTTAATTTTTGGATTTCAGGGTCAAGGTGTTATAACCATCCCTGACCCTTCCAAAGAATTGACCATGGGTTCAAGCTATTAGTCAAGACAAGCCTATATTACCACTAAGAAAACAAAATAAACACACAGGTGCAGTATGCTGATCTAACTATGTCTCTCCTCTCTAATTAACAAAACCTACTTATTCTATGAGCAAATGCTAAACCAAGGAACTAACGAAATATTACCTCCTGAGTTGCGGTTGTCCTGTCTTCCACCACAAAATTATCATCCCCAATCCATGACAGCGCAGTCTCTCCCCTGACTGAAAGCATAGAGCCGACAAAATGATTAAAATCTCCTGCAAGAATATAAATGAATATTTTATAAGGAAGCACTTAAATTTAAAAAAAAAAAAAAAGAGAGAAAAGTTCTCTTAAACAAACAATGTCAAATGGAAAAATACCATGTGAGAAGAGATAAGTTGCAAAAACTTGCTTGTGTGCAGTTTAAAAGCAAATTTTGAAATGAAGAGGTGCACAATATGTCCCAGTCTAAAAGTCAGAACTGCTTGCAGAGTTGTCAATGGCCTAACATTTAACACGTGCATAGAATTTCATTTATGTTGAAATTATGAACCTCAGTTCTTGCTGGAAACTACTTTATATGGACCAGGACCAAGACCAAAGAAAAGTACTTCGAAACAAGTTAGATTTAAAGCAGATACCAGACAAAGTACCAACTTGATATTACCCTATGATTCCACATGCACAACCTCTTAGGCAGAATCTCTATCATGGATTGCCTATATTAAGGCACAAGAGTTTTGGAAAAGTCTGGCCAATAATCAATTGAACAAAGTAAACACCAAACAGATATTACATCTATAAGTTTTCAGCCTACAATGAAATGATTAAAATGATCTTAAATTAAAGAAAAATGCGCAGCAAGATCTACTAAAGCTTAAAAAGACCAGTGCATACCAGGCAATACATCATCTAAAGAAGGAACGCTTTCTGAATAATGATATGACTGAAACTGAGATTGGGCTTCTGCAATCAGGTGACGATAATCAGCTCCTTTACTCTTTGGCACAATAACATCAGAAGCTTGAGTTGCACCAGTATCGGGCACATCATCTGAACCGAAATCAAATTCAACCTCATACCGATCCCAATTTGATGGCAATTTAGCTATTTGCTGAGCCTGGCGAATTTTCGCACTAACTTGCTTGTTTGGCACCTTCTTCACATTAGCAGCATTACTATTACCTTCTGTTGCTGGCTTTGGTTTTTGACTAGGATGGGCCTTTTTATTATGGTGTTGAGAGTGAGCTCTCTTTGATTTTGCCAAAGCCTTGGCATCCATCACAAATACATACAATGTCTAAAAACAAATCGAATCCACCACCCCTGCAATGTATGAAATCTAAGAATTACAGACAACAAAAGAAAAGCCGTCCCTGTTGCTAACTCACAACAAACAAGAAATTTAAATTAATCCAAATGTCTATTTAGAAAACCCAATAGAGTTTATGATTTCTGCTAAATAAAGCTAAAACCTTGGGATCATATGTAAACAGGAAAAATATGAAAATAAATAACTAAATTAAGCCATAATTTCGGTGCCGAGAACTACAATAAAATACTGTAACTAGGCATGTTAAATGAGATGAAATTCTGCGAGGGTTAACTTGAATTTATCGGCAACTAGATATGTGAAATTCGATTGCAAATCTAGAATTGAGATCATCATCCTCGAAAAACAAGAAGTAGAAAACCTAATAAAAAACAAGACCTGGGAGTTAGGCGAGTTAAGGCTCTTACCTTGATTAGATTCGCGTATTATGGAAGTAAGCGAAATTGGCTATTGGAGACGGAGAGTATGCCGGAGAACTGCCGGAAACACAAGCAAGAAGAAAAGGAACGGGTTCAGCGTTTGGCGATGATTCTGCAAACCCTTCAGAAGCCGAAGAACTTTCCTTACCCCGTTTTGCATCTCCTGGTTCCAACGACACCGTTTGCTTGTATTCTTCTTCGCACCAGGGCCCAAAAGGATTGAAGTTGGATCCGACTCATGGATATTACTTCTCGGGCTAGGCCCTTTTAGGCAGGAGAACAACCCAATTCAGGCTAGCCCATGTCCATCTCACATTTTGAATTCTTTAAAATATCTTTCTAGATCAAATAATCAAGGAACCATGATGCATTTGATGGATTATATAAGCAATGCTGTTCTAAGTATAAGTTTTTTAAGGAACATCATAGTGATTAAAAATTTGAGTTTTTATATTGGTAGTTTCTAACTTGAATCCTTTTGCAATGGATCGAAAATGGTTTAAGAAAGGGAGGACTATCCCTAACCGATCATACATAAAAAATGAAAAACTTGTTCTTAGCATCTTATTTTAGTTACCTTTCACCATTCTAATATAGACCGTCATCAATTTGGGGCACTATATAGTAGATTACGAATATCACTTTTTTACCTAATTTCCCTCTAATTATTATATGCTTTACTAGTATCTTTGATCAGGCCAATATAGTGGCAAACTAAGTGGCACATATCGATGGCTCTCAATCTATTCTTTCAATGTTTTTTGAACTACTTTTTCCTAAAAGAAAGCTTTGAACGAGAGCTTTTCTTTCTCTTTCCTTCTCCCCTTATATGCCAATTAATCATTAATGATTTTTCCAGACAATCTACAATAAACATCTCTTCTCACATTAGATATGAATTCCTCTTTTACTTAGTGGAAAACTTTGGGTACTCGCCAATTTGATGAAGTGACCCTTGTTTTAATGTCCCTTTAACAGAAAAAAGATTGTTATTTTTCTGCATCATCATTATATTGGAGTTTGGCTGAAATTCCAATCGAAATGGAAATTAAGAATTGTTGTGGTTTATAAATATGGATCACCTTTCCATGACAGCACTTTGCCAAAAATATGATGCTTAAGGGTCAAATTAAGCAAACAATTTCACATGACTAAATGCAACCTAATCCTTAATGTGAATATTGGTCTCTTTTGTGAAGACCTACCAACACTAACGAATCATTGCACTCTACAAATTAGCCTACAAGCCACAACTTACACTCTCGACTTGGGAGGCTAAAAGATGGAGTAAGGTTAGAATCCCACGTCAAATAGAAATCAATGGCAATTATAATTTAAAAGTAAGGACCCATCCCTTCCCCTTGTGAGGTTGTGGGTACTTTCAGGGAATCATGGGATACAACCCAATGCTTGATGTCAACATTAACCATGCCATGGTTCAATGCTTAATCAATTCCATGTTTGGGCATTATATGCTCCTTTTCCTACATCTCCCAATATTCCATTCATATAAAATGGATATGGTCCCTACCTATTCTCTTCAAAAAGATATATAGTCTACTATCCATTGATGAATCTTTTAAGTGAAAGAGAGATTGGAAAATAGAGTTAGTGGGTGTCATTATCATTTTTTTCTTTATAAGCCAAAGAGAATCTTCGATCTTCTTATATGGCATTGCATGAGAATAGTATCATTATTTCTATCTTCTGAATTTGGTTTGATTTTAATTAGCTTTCTAGTGCTTCTTTCGCCTATTAAATAACCCAATCTTGATAATTTTTTTTTTTGGATAATTTGTTGATATAAAAACATAATATTGATAATATATTGCATCTAAATTGTAACTTTGCTGCTAATTAAGGTACATGTCCTATCCGTAATTAAGAGATGCCTTTGAATCCTTTCTCAACTCTATATGTGTGTTTGGGTGTATGTATCTTCGATATATAGATATATATTTATGGGAATCTAAGAACAAAATTACCATGAAATTTAAATGAGAATCTAACAAAATCGATCTTTTTCAAAACATATACAAACATGACAGCTACTACTTGATTTTTTTAAAGCATTATTCCCCCAACAATATATATGATCTTTTTAAGAGCAAGAAAAGAGTTAATGGATTGGTCAATATAATTAGTAAAACAAGAAACCATTATCATTCACTAGCTAGTAGCTAGGGGACACGTACCTTAGTCTCATCACATGTCTCTCTCTATGATGGTGTGCTTATGAGAATTATTTGAGAACTATGAAATATTTGTCATCTTCAAAATCAGTTACGCTTAATTTGATCTTCTTGTCCCACAGTTTACTTCAAAATCAGTTACGATAATTATATGTGTTGTATCTTTATTTAGCTTGTGTTTTAGGTTTTTGTATATATAATCTTTTTTATATAATCTTGATTAATATATATAATATTATGTTATAGTTAAATTTATTTATATTAAATATTATTTTGTATT